TGGCTCCCTTCACTGCCCTGTGCCCTCAAGGAAGAGCAGGCTGAGCAGGGGAGGGTAAGGACTTTGGATCAGGATGCCGGTCTTGATGCCCCTCCCTCCAGGGCTGGTTGACTCTGAATCCTCAGGTTTGTTCCAACTCTGCTCTGCTTTGAGGTGTTGCCATCACCCTCAGGCTGGTAGCTGGATGGTGGCTGGAGTTCCAAGCATCACACTCAGACCCAACCATGCTCAGGGGAGCAGGGGGTCTGTGTCTCTCTGTGGGTCTCCCGGGAAAGCAGAAACCTCTGGTCCCCACCTCTGCAGACCTGTACTCACTTCTCTTTGGCCTGAATTGGGTCTCAGGCCCATTCCTGAACTACTCACTGGCAAAGAGCACGGGACTGCAGTCATACCCATCAGGTGTCCCTGCAGCTCAGCTGTTGTCACTGTCTCCTGAGGACCATGGTTCTTTGGGAACAGGTGAAGGCCTGAACCCAACCAGAAGTCCATAAAAAAGAAGGAATAGGAACTCATAGACACCAAAGCATGTCCTCTACAAACCATGAGAATTAATTTCTGAACTGGGGACAGGCAGTACCATGAATCCATGAGGTGACACATGAGAAATGCTTTGACATTCAGATGGCACATACAATTAAAGATGATGCCAGATGATCAGTAAAATAATAATGAGAAGTAAGCTGCACCCAACTGGACAAACACAAAGCTCATAATGCAAAAGGACTCCACGTTTTTACTCTAAGGAGCATGTTGGACACCCAGTGACTCCGGGTCTCCTTCAGGTCTCACCTGTGCTTTTCAACACTTGGATTGCGGGAAACGAGTTAAGTCGGCTCGCGTGAATTGCGCGTACTCCGCGGGAACCGTCTTAACTCGGTTCATATAGATTTGCAGTGGAGTGCGGGAAACGTGTAAACTCGGGCCGATTGTAACTGCGTATTACCAAATATTTGTTTGTTTGCCGTTCACAAAGATACCTACCTGCGTATGCGAACCGTTTCATACCCATTGGGGTAATAGGTATCATAAAAATCCCTTCCGTTCATAAATTGCGCAGTGAGACACGCTACATGTGCAAATTTTGCAATATACCTCTACATAAAGGGGCGTGTTTTGAAAAATATCATACGCTAAAAAACTATTAATTTCTATTTGTTTTGATTTATTATGAAAATTTTATTTTAAACTTTAAAAATATGTGTATATTTTTAGGTAATAAGTATTTTTTGGGTTTTTCGTATTTAGTTTATATATATCGAATTATTTATGTACTGAATAGATAAAAAAATGTCTGTGAATGAATAAATTTTCATTTTTTACACAAGAAACTGAAAATTTCATTTCAATCGAACCCATACTTCAAAAGATATAGGCATTTTAAACTAACTCTGATTTTGCGCGGGAAACCTAAATAATTGCCCGCGCCATCTTATATTTTGGCGGGAAATTCACCCGACACCGTAGTGTTAATATGGGCTTGCACCTTGGCCAGGTAACACATGTGCTCTTCTCAAAGGGTGCCAGCCCGCCTCACTGGGGGCGAGTCCCTAAGTCCTCCTTGTGGGTGAAGAGGACCACCACATGTCCCACGGCCCCTGCCCCAAAGACCTCCTTCATCCTCCTCACTGCCATCGTGTCATGGGCAGTGAAGTGCCCCACTGGGTCACCAGCAGCAACACATGTGGCTCTAGGGCTGAGAGCAGGTAGCAGTCTTCGATGTCCTTGTACATCTCTTGGTTTGGGGCCTTTGCCTCTAAGATGAAGGGCGTGTCAACCACCAGGATGTTCCTCCCATTCCACGTGCCTGTGGCCACCTGGCAGGTCTTGGTCACCATCTGGGCTCCCAGTTTGGACTCAAACACGGTCTGGCAGAGGATGCTGTTCCCAGTGGCACTTTTCCCTCAGCTGGATTTGCCTACCAGGATCAGCCTCAGTGAGGATGATCCTAGAGTTAGATTTTTCTCTTCCACCTGTCAGAGCACATGAGTACATAATGTGCAATTGCTATGGACCGAATGTTAGTGTCCCCCAAACTTATGTGCTGAAACCCTAGTCCCCAATATGATGGCATCTGGAACTGGGACCTTTGGGAGGTGATTAGCACTAGATGAGGGCAGGAGGTTGGAGCCCCCACGTGATGGGATTAGTGCCCTTAGAAGAACAGGAAGGGAGTAGACTCTGTCTCCACCAGATGAGGACACAGCAACCAGGAAGCAGGCTCTCCCCAGACACCGAATCTGCCAGCACCTTGATCTTAGACCTTCCAGCCTCCAGAACAGTGAGAAATAATGTTGGTTGTTTACCACCCAGTCTATGGTATTTTATTTTAGCCTCAGATGACTGAGAGTAATAAATGCCTTTGGGGGAGGAAGAGGAGTAGGAGAACAAAAAAGGAAAAGACCCAGAAGAAAGAGCATCTGTGATGAATTAGGGTGTCATGCCCTCTGTCTCCATCACAGGGCTGGGCTAGCATGAAAGCCAGCCACTGGCCTGGACTGGAGCAAACTCATCTCCCCACCCACCGTGTGCCTCTCTGGCATCAAGATTCTTTCTTATGGGTAATTCTAGATGCCAGGGTAGATTGAATTCAAGGCAGGCGCGATGTTTGAGACATTCTCTGGCTCTGGCCTCCCTCTTACTTCTGTCAAATACCCTGCCCTCAGGTTACCCAGGCTGTGGCCTGAGGGAAAACAAGTTTAGGAGGCTTCCTCACAGAAGCAGACTTGTATTTCCACAGAAACTAGGGAGACATCTGTCCTCCCACCCACCCAACCACGCTGTCATTTAGGCAAAGTGACAAGCATTTAAGGCAGTGATGGTGAACCTTTCGAGCTTGTCGTGTCAGCATTTTGAAAAACCCTAACTTAACTCTGGTGCCGTGTCACATATAGAAATTTTTTGATATTTGCAAACATAGTAAAACAAAGATTTATATTTTTAATATTTACTTTATATATTTAAATGCCATTTAACAAAGAAGAATCAACCAAAAAAAGGAGTTTGCGTGTCACCTCTGACACGTGTGTCATAGGTTCGCCATCACTGATTTAAGGGCTAGAGATGTCCTGTGAACCTTGTCTGGATATTTACTATTAGGTATTTATTGTTTTGGATGTGATATTAATAAAGGGAAGAGTCCTACAGCTTTAAAGTTATGGGCTAAGAAGTTTAGATATGAAATGATATGATATCTGGATTGGCTTTCAAATAATCAAGACAGGAAGGGAGAGAGTAGATGAAACAAGACTGTCCAAGTATAATAATGACAGCTAATGATGACACATTGACTTTGTACTTCACTCTATTTGGAATGTTCCACTTTAAAAGTTTTCAAATCATATTGACAAAGGTTTACCAATGTTCACAATATTTCTTTTTATCTCAAAATTTTTAGGTATATTGGATGAAATGAGATACCTTTCAGCCTCTCAAGCGGAAGACTAAGAGACCTATATAGTCATTTCATAGGTCTTAGTAAAGCCTTTGTTGATACTGTGAAATCTAATTTCTCCAAGGCCGAATAATCAATCCTTTTTCAAGTCAAGCAGTTTACACTACTTCCAGTGGAGGGTGTGCAGGAGGCAGCTGATCAATGTTTCTCTCTCATCAATGTTTCTAACTCTCTGTCCCTCTCCCTTCCTCTCTGTAAAAAACAATGAAATAGATTTAAAAAGAAAAAGAAAAGAAATGCAAGGGAATAATTGTCACAAAGGACAGGATAGTGACAATAACTTGGTGACAGGAGAAAAAGCAATGAGATCAAGAAGGAAGTCAAGGAGAAGGAAAGATGGTGGTCGAGTAAGTGGAAGCTACACTGACACTTTAGAATCACAGCTAAAATACAGACAAAACATCCTGAATAATCAACTGAAGACTAGATGGAGAGAACCCTGGTAACCAAGGAGGGAAAATAAAGACTGCAAAAAGATGGCTAAGAAGTGTGGAGGCAAGAAAGGGCTGGCCGGGCTCCCACAGACAGCAGCTGAAGCTCCAGAGGGACATCTCAGCTGTGGGGGGTTCCCACTGAGAACTCTGGGGTCTAAATCCCAAGCTGGACCCCTCAGCCCAGAGCACCAGAACTGAGAAAAGTACCCATACAACATATGGCTGTGAAAATCAGCAGGGTTTCTGTCTGCCGGGAGAGACCACTGGAAATGTAGGCACCCACTTAAAGGGCCAACACACAAAATTCCATGTGCAGCCACTCACCTTGGGCTCTAGAGGGAGGACAGAGTGGACTGTCGCTGTGTGAGCAGAATCCGGGGTCGGGGGCTCTGGAGTTAGAGCTTGGAAGGCAGCTGCCCCGTTTCCTGTGCTGAGTTATTGCCTCAAACTGCAGGGAACATCTTCCTCCAGCAGACCTCCTTTACCGTCCAGACAACTTTTGCCTGGGAGGCAAACAATTGCCCCACCCTGTTGGAAACCCCTCACCCCACCCTGGAGTCAATAGCCTGGGGCAAATCAGGATGAATAAGGACCATTCTGAAGGCCAAGGAGGGTCTCTGGGCGCTTTCAGTCTTTTTTTTTTTAAATATATTTTATTGATTTTTTACAGAGAGGAAGGGAGAGGGATAGAGAGTTAGAAACATTGATGAGAGAGAAACATCGATCAGCTGCCTCCTGCACACTCCCCACTGGGAGTGTGCCCACAACCAAGGTACATGCCCTTGACCAGAATCGAACCCGGACCCTTGAGTCTGCAGGCCGACGCTCTATCCACTGAGCCAAACCTGTTAGGGCCTCTTTCAGTCTTTATGTGATCTCCTTCTGGACTGGTGGCTAGGAAAAGCAGACCTTGGTGCACATCTTGGTCCTTCCCTAAGGCATTCGGCCCCAGCAGAGGGCGCCACACGCTGTGGATTGCTGATAGCTCCAAACAGGGTACTCAGGACCAGTCACAAACAGCTTCTGACACTGTCCTGCACTAGAGATAGGGAGTCACAGCAGATCAACCTAATACACACACACTGACCCCAGCAAGCAGCCAAAATGGGGAGACAAAAAAAAAAACAAGATTAAAGAGCAGATTACAGAATTCAAAGAAGCTTTTTCACTATTTGACAAGGATGGTGATGGAACTATAACAACAAAGGAATTGGGAACGGTAATGAGGTCTCTTGGGCAGAATCCCACAGAAGCAGAGTCACAGGGCATGATAAAGGAAGTGGATGCTGATGGTAATGGCACAATCGACCTCCCAGAATTTCTGACAATGATGGCAAGAAAAATGGAAGACACAGACAGTGAAGAAGAAATTCGAGAAGCATTCCGGGTGTTTGATAAGGATGGCAATGGCTATATTAGTGCAGCAGAGCTTCGCCATGTGATGACAGACCTTGGAGAGATGTTAACAGATGAAGAGGTTGATGAAATGATCAGGGAAGCAGATATTGATGATGATGGTCAAGTAAACTATGAAGAGTTTGTACAAATGATGACAGCAAAGTGGGGATATTGTACAGAATGTGTTATATTTCTTGTACAAAATTGTTCATTTGCCTTTTCTTTGTTTGTAACTTGTCTGTAAAAGGTTCCCCCTACTATCAAAAAAAGATACGCATGTATAGTAATTAGGACTTCATTCCTCCATGTTTTCTTCCCTTATCTTACTGTTATTGTCCTGAAACCTTATTTTAGAAAATTGATCAAGTAACATGCTGCATGTGGCTTACTCTGGATATATCTAAGCCCTTCTGCACATCTAAACTTAGATGGAGTTGGTCAACTGAGGGAACATCTGGTTATGCCTTTTTTTAAGTAGTTTTCTTTAGGCACCGTCAGCATGTTGTTGTTGAGGTGTGGAGTTGTAACTCTGCATGGACTATGGGCAGTCAACAGCATGTACTTAAAAGTTGCACTATTGCAAAACGGGTGTATTATCCAGGTACTCGTACACTATTTTTTTGTACTGCTGGTCCAGTACCAGAAACATTTACTTTTATTGTTACTTGCTTTTTAAACTTTGTTTAGCCTCTTAAAGAAAATCTGCTTATGGAACAATTTGCCTCAAATCCATTCCAAGTTGTATATTTGTTTTCCAATAAAAAAAAAATTACCCCCCCCCCAAAATTAGTCATTCAGGTTATTGGTTTATAATTTGTGCGTGATGTCTGCTGTGTTTTAAAGCCTTACCTGTTACAGGCACCTCTCACTGACACCAGAGAAGTGTTACTAGACAGGACAGCCTCCTAGCTAGAGGAAGAGGGCTGTCCCCAGCCTCGATCCTTGGCTTCTCATATAAATGAATTCATACAAGAGATCTTGGCTGCGTTGTGAAAAGCCAACTTATTAAAGCAATTAAAGCATGCACCTTTATTGAAAAAGCAAAGCAAGCTAATCTATTTTATCCGGCTTCAAGCACAGATGGGCTTTTCTGGCTAATTCAGAAAAGCAAGTGTCTGGAGCAAGTTCGAGGAGTAATATACCCTCCTCCTGTCTATAATAGGTTTCAAAAGATTCTTTTGCTGAGTATCTTGGTACAGATTAAGTCTCAAGGTTTTCTTGTCGTGGTCTTCCCAGAATCCTGGCAATTTTATCTTGCCAAGCCTTGAGACTGCTGGCTTCTCTCCTTAGGGAGTAAAACTGCCCTTTTTTCTTTTCCCCCTTCCCCCTCCCTTTCTGCATTCTCTCATTAGGGAAGTATTTTAACCATTGCTCTGCACCCTTGGTTGGGGAAGATAATAACTGTTTGTTAGTTGCAAGCTGGCTGCAAATTACTCACACTATTTGGCCTTGTCCTAATTTTTCTCAGTTTCCCCTATTCCTCCTACCCTGGAATCCTGTAACATTCTCACTTTTAAGCAATTATACCCAGCCCCAGAATCAGGAAGAGATCTCCTTGGGATCTCTTTGGCAAACTTTTGTATGCTTTCTAACTTTGGGGTGTACTCTCAGCAGTTACAGCCAGCTGGGCCTACTCCGTGCTTGGCAACATTCTTGTTACTTTTACCCTTTGGTTTCTGGTTCTAAGTAGGCAATTGAATCAGTCAGGGCCCTTTTGTGGCAGGTAACAGAATTTCAACTCACACCAGCGTAAGCAAAAAAGAGATTTATCACCTCAGATAATAAAACAGTGCAGTGACTTCTCCAGTCATATCTCCAGTCACTCTTCCTGTGCTCCCCTCCCTTCTTCCCTCCTCCCTTCTCCCTCCCTCTGCTCTTTCTTTCCTTTCTCTTATGATTCTGATGAGGGGAGGGGGTCAGGGGGAGGGCATGTAATAAGAATAGAGCCACAGTTGTCTAATGATTATTCACTTTACTAACTATAGATAAGAAGTTTTCTTTCAGACCCTGGGAAACCGGAGGATGAAACAAGGCTGTAAAAAGATAAGATGCCTGGATGGGTCCATGACTCAGAAAAGAAATACATTTTGAGAACAGACCAAGGACAGGAACACACTTTGATTTGGTTGCTGTGCCCGGACCCTGACCCCCTCCACAAGTTGGCATCAAGAACGCTGACCATCTGACCATTCTCCAGTCCCAGGAAGGGCTGAGCTGTTTGTAGCATCACAGATTAGCCACCTTGTGATCCGCCTTTGAGCTCCTGAAGGCCGGACTGCAGACCTGACCCTCCCCTTTCCCTGTTACACTTGCAGCCCACAGCTGCATGTAGCTATCTTACCCCTCAATCATATATAATC